ATACCAGGACCAGGACCAGGATGTGTGTGTGTGTGTTCATGTGTGTGTGTTGATGTGTGTGTGTGTGTGTGCAAGTGTATGTGTGTGTGTGTGTGTGTGTGTGTGTGTGTGTGTGTGTGTGTGTGTGTGTGTGTGTGTGTGTAAGTGCGCGTGAGAGTTCGCCATGTACGTGTATATGTGAGCAGGGGTGGATCGAGCAGGGGTGGAATGGGCAGGGTAGACAGAGCAGGGGTAGACAGAACCTAGATGTTTTTGCCTCTGTGCAGGTTGTAGGATGTGGAGTGTTCAAGTACAACAGTAGCGAAACACCAACACCATACCTGTAGTCGGTGGTTACCAGTATCAGCAATGATCACTCGTTCATCATCTGTTACATGCACAGCGTCTGGGCCATAGAACTCTCCACAGTTTCTTCCCTCGACGCCAACCGTCTGCTTGCACTGGCCATCAACCCCATGTATCTAAGTGCATTAACAAAAAGGAATACAATAACAAATTCAAGCACACACATGCACACAGACATAGCCCTGATCTAAACATATACATTAGAATGTAATTCTATGGTGAGAATCTAGCCACAAACTCGCCCAGTAAATATCAGGCAAACATCCACTCCCCGATTCGCTGATGGCCGACCCATTCACATCACAACCATAGCGAGGACGATTCATTATTTTTAAGTTTTAACCATAGCGAAGACAATCCCATTGAGATGTTGATATTCAGACCCAGCAGACAGCGGTTCGTTCCAACACAGCAACAGAGCTCATCAGTGGAGTGTGTAGATAATGGCTGATTCAGGAACATGAGTGATGTTGTATAGGGAAAAAAACTATCACTCGGAATTTCACACTTTCTCTCTAGTGTGGCATGCCCTAGCAGAACAAATGTGCAAGGTGATAACAGATAGTTTTAACAGAGGCCATGCACGTGTGCATTGCTTGGACCTGCATGATGTAATGTCCAGCATGCGTATACATGTACATGATGTCATGTCCAGCATGCGTATACATGTGCATGATGTCATGTCCAGCATTCGTATACATGTACATGATGTCATGTCCAGCATGTGTATACATGTACATGATGTCATGTCCAGCATGAGTATACATGTGCATGATGTCATGTCCAGCATGTGTATACATATACATGATGTAATGTCCAGCATGAGTATACATGTGCATGATGTCATGTCCAGCATTCGTATACATGTACATGATGTCATGTCCAGCATGCGTATACATGTACATGATGTCATGTCCAGCATGAGTATACATGTGCATGATGTCATGTCCAGCATGAGTATACAGGTGCATGATGTCATGTCCAGCATGCGTATACATGTACATGATGTCATGTCCAGCATACGTATACATGTACATGAGTAGCTATTGGCTACCAGCAGAACCTCTAACTGTCTGGTGATTGATTTCTTGCACCAATTCTACCACTGCATGTAGCCCTTTCCCAAAGGTGCTCTTTTAATTCGCACTTAGTGCTTTTTGCGTCCCTCAAAATATGCTGAAAAAGTACTCTTTTTTCAGTGAAAAAAGGCAAAATGTGCTCTTTTTTCAGTGAAGCATAGCCATGTAACATTTTCAGATATGAACCCAAGCTGAGAAATGAATACGCACTCTTCCATTTATGGGTCCAAGAAAGGCCAAACAGGAAGTAAAGTTCAAAAAACCCACTTTTTACAGCATTGTGTACAAAGTACAAGCTTCACCAACTTCATGCCCCCGAAAAAAGCGGCGCCCATCGAACACTCGGAAACTGTGATCGCATGCATGAGCAAAAGGATTTTAGCGAGAGTGAGAGAGAGAGAGAGAGAGAGAGAGAGAGAGAGAGAGAGAGAGAGAGAGAGAGAGAGAGAAAGAGAGAGAGAGAGAAGGAGAGAGAGAGAGAGTGAGAGAGAGAGAGAAAAAAGAGAGAGAGAGAGAGAGAGAGTGAGAGAGAGAGAGAGACAGAGAGAGAGAGAGAGATAAATTTAGAGTTGGTGTAGAAGCAATGTAGCCTTGTTGATGCAAGAGTGAAGCCAGCGTGCAGACGTGCATATACATGTACTTGGAAAAGTAGGGCGATGTATCAAACCGTTGTGAAGTTTGCCACCTCTGACCTGGTGCAAGCCATATGTGTGCATTCCCGGTGTCAACTGCCAGCTGCACTGTTATGCATGATGGGTGCGAGACCAGCATCGGTACATTATACAAATGTATGCCTTAACCATATCTTTATAGGAAATTCTAACAATGGTGGCACTCTAGTACTGTCTTTGTGATCGATAACGATCTCAAATATAGGCTGAGCATTACACTCTGGATGAATCTTAAATTGCCAAAACATTTCTAAAAAAAGGAGATGCACATTATACTCCGCCAAATACCTTTATTCTGTGGTTGCAGCTGTCACAGATGATCAGGTCACCAGCTTTGTTGGTTGCTAGTCCCCAAGGGCTGTCAAACTGATCTCTCCCTCTGCCTTCACTACCAAATGAGTACCTTGCTTTGTGGATCTGTGTGTAATCACGCTGCAATACAGGAGAGCAGTGGGAACAACAGCAACCGACACTAGGACCATAGAGGTTGAAAGTAGTGATGCCATTGGCCCAAACCTGGCTGGGTGGTCATTGAGACCGTTGGTTGCCGGACCCTGTACCACACGGAATCCTGTATTCATACTTGGCAACCCAGCCAAATCAAATCCCTTAGTCACACAACCAGTTTCCCCTAATTTTCTCTCATTTCTCTTATTTAGCTAGTTTTCGCCAATTTCGTCTATTTTCTCTTTTTCGGGCAATTTTTGAGTATTTTGCGAATTGTGCGCAATATTTTGGCAATTTTGTTCTTTCTTTTTATTCATTTCTAACCCATTGCTCATTGGACCAAAGCGTGGATTTCTTCATTGTCAGATCGCCCCTACGTAAGGGATTCTGTGAAAAGCAGGGCCGCATGTGCCCTTGTCACACCACAAACCAGCGTTTTTGTGAACAATCATGGTTCAGTGCCAATTCCAGTAGTTTTTCGATCAAAGTCAGAAATCCCCGGTATGCCGGTAGTTACCGGGTTACCCTAGTTACACACACACACACACACACACACACACACACACACACACACACACACACATACACACATACACAAACACACACACACACACACACACACACCAGCACCACACACACAAACACACACACACACACACACACACACACACACATACACAAACACAAACCAGCACCACACACACAAACACACACACACACACACACACACACACACCTAGTCTTACCTGCTTTGTTGGAGATTCAGCTATTTCTGCTGCTGCTGCTGATGATGATGATGATGGTGACAACGTGTTTCTGGGCAAAATAGTCTGATCTGAGGCTGAACCTTGTCTGGGCACTCTAGCTGGTGTTTCAGCTGAGGAAGCGCTGGATGACATCATCGGTGGTGTTGCAGAAGATGTAAATGTACTGCCTGGTGATGGAGTGGACTGGGGAATAGAATCACGGCGATGTGAGGTAGTCGCCATCGGTGGTTGCTAAAGTATTCCAAATCGACAAAAAGCGCAATGTATGGTCCTTCAATAGCAGGTGTGTACATGTATATGACAGCCTCATTGGGCATCTGCCCTTGTTTTTCCGATGCCGTTTTATGCTCCTTCTAAAAAAGGCAATTATGCCTTCAATTATTATTTATTATTATATGTGTATAACAGTCTCATTGGGCATCGGCCCTTCTTTTTCCCATGCAATTGTATGCTCCTTCTCAAAAAGGACCTGATTATGCCAAAAATTATGCCCGCAAAATCCGCTTACCCCTAGCAAGTGCAGCGCTGTGCCGCGAGTCCGCAGCCTTTTCGTTGAAGCATCAACTGATGATGTAATCAAATAACGTCTATTCACACAGGGGGTGATGAGAATAGCCAGGGCCGTACTAGCAAGAGTACAGAACCAAGAGTGTGAAACTCCTATCTTGAGCTGCGATGGGTTCACCCACGGCGGAATTTTTTTATTGCCTCATCCTTTGGCAGAAGTTATGATGAAGTGGGTATTCTTTCCGGCGCTTGTTTTGTAAATACGGTGAGAGTTCGTCAGGTTCAAGACACGTCGATCTTTCGTCCGTTGTTCTGCTTCGACTACCGTAGCTGTAATGTACACATTATTTGCACTTTGATCTCTGGCTACGCATGATGGCATCAGTGAGCTAAACCGCCGCCAAAGACAATGAAAGACTGATGTCATAAAAAAATTCCGCCGTGGGCTGGGGAATCGTAGAGTTGCACACTCTTGGTTATGTACTCTTGCCTTGGTACTAGTAGTAATAAAATTAATAATCCAATCATGAATTATACTATTCATGAATCGAACGCACTCACGTGAGTCTGTATGTAGTCTGTAGTCCAGGTCGGATCCGTACTGCGCTCGTTAGCGTGTTCAACTCTCCCAGCACGGCAGCAGCCTGTTGTATGCTTGCCTCTACTCTCTAGCACTAGCAGTCTAGGCCGCTGCTCGACTCACTACTCGCACTGACGTCGTTATGTTACTGTATACTACCGGTACTACCGGTGGTACTAGTACTAGTACATGTCCAGAAAATGTCACTCCAAATAGCTGTATGGTGTAGACCAGGCTGAATAGTGACGGTCAATTCTTCAGCCTTGCAAGCTGTTGAATGGTGTAATCCCAGCACAAGTTGCTATGGCTTCTGCCGTAGCATTGCTATCATCGCCTCCGACGATGGGCGTCAAAGGTCAGGTCAGGTCAGGTCAGTACATGTAGTGTACTAGTACTAGTACAAAGTAGTAGTAGTAGTACGGAACATTAATTTTTGTGCTTATGCTCGTCGTTTTCTTCGTCACCATGGTCACGCATGGGTAGACCATGGTAGACTCCCGATCCCGGGAATCAGGATCTAGATCTCTCATGTCTCATGACATGTATTGTTCGGTGGGAACATAATGTTGACTTCAAAAATAATTGAAACTTTATTTTTTAAATGTTTGCGTTTGAACATAATTGGCGGACTACATAGTCACTAGTCATTGTACTGGATCGTAGATGTACGAGTACCTAGACAGCAAGAGGCAAGACTACTACATGACTTTGTAGGACTACTAGTAGTTCAGTCAGTAACACTCACTGGAGCAGTGCATTGCCTGGTGTTGGCCATTAGGTATTTCTGGTATTTGCAGATTACTTGTATGGAGTCGACCCTGGTAGTTACATAGAGGAGAGTCGTGTTTTGCTAATCGGTTGACGTTCGTTAGCTAGCGGTGTTTTGATCTTACTCGTACAAACTACCCCAGCGTAGCGTGCACTGTGACGGTAAGAGCATGAAAAAAACTGGTACATGTAGACATGTAGTGGAGGAGCAGACAATTGCACAAAATTTAAAATAATGCTGTGATCTAAAATAGAAAGTTCTAGGTACGTACAGAGAGGCAGCTCCCATTTGTATGATGCTTGTCAGTGTTTGTGAAGGTATTGAAAAAGTATGAAAAGAATTACTGAGGAAAACTCTGAAATTACAGTACTCGTAGAAAAAGATTTTAACAAAACAATCAAGCCGTGATGAAAAGTATGTAGCATGATATTTGAACTTGTAGCATATAGCACGCACTGGAGCAGTCATGGAGACACCAGTAGTCTTCCTGTGGAAATGACATTGATTTTGGAGTTTGCTGTTCAAACACGCTGCCACGCAAGCAGTTAGTGACACCCAGTTGCTATATTCTACATTGTATGTGTTTGTGTGTGCGTGTGTGTGGTCTCCGTTACGTATCTCTGTGTTTTTTGCTATGGAGTCTAATATCTCTCTCTCTCTATCTCTCTCTCTCTCTCTCTCTCTCTCTCTCTCTCTCTCTCTCTCCGTCTCTCTGTCTCTGCAGAGCAAGCTGTTCAGTGTACTGGACAGTCATATGGAAGAACCATACAAGGTCACTGAGATAGCTCGCCACAGCTAGTCACTATGGACGCTAAAGCCCTCGCTGACCATCTAACCAACTTCTACTCTGGAAAGGCAGCAGCACGTCGACTCGCCGATGATGAAGTTGCGGCAAACGTCATGTGCAGGGTGTCCATGGTACAAAGTGGTACTGTGCCGACAAGGCTGAGTGAGGCATCAGGACGGCGCACGGCGTTCGTTGCCGGCCGAGATACTGCCTGCCGCGTTCTGCCGTGCAAGTCACCGTATGATGTCCTGCTCGCCCTCGGTCTAACACGCGAGTTCATCACCCTCAAGGTAAAAGATACGGGAAATCAGTACCTGCTTTAAACAATCAAGCCGTGATGAAAAGTATGTAGCATGATATTTGAACTTGTAGCATATAGCACGCACTGGAGCAGTCATGGAGACACCAGTAGTCTTCCTGTGGAAATGACATTGATTTTGGAGTTTGCTGTTCAAACACGCTGCCACGCCAGCAGTTAGTGACACCCAGTTGCTATATTCTACATTGTATGTGTTTGTGTGTGCGTGTGTGTGGTCTCCGTTACGTATCTCTGTGTTTTTTTGCTATGGAGTCTAATATCTCTCTCTCTTTTTCTATCTATCTCTCTCTCTCTCTCTCTCTCTCTCTCTCTCTCTCTCCGTCTCTCTGTCTCTGCAGAGCAAGCTGTTCAGTGTACTGGACAGTCATATGGAAGAACCATACAAGGTCACTGAGATAGCTCGCCACAGCTAGTCACTATGGACGCTAAAGCCCTCACTGACCATCTAACCAACTTCTACTCTGGAAAGGCAGCAGCACGTCGACTCGCCGATGATGAAGTTGCGGCAAACGTCATGTGCAGGGTGTCCATGGTACAAAGTGGTACTGTGCCGACAAGTCTGAGTGAGGCATCAGGACGGCGCACGGCGTTCGTTGCCGGCCGAGATACTGCCTGCCGCGTTCTGCCATGCAAGTCACTGTATGATGTCCTGCTCGCCCTCGGTCTAACACGCGAGTTCATCACCCTCAAGGTAAAAGATACGGGAAAACAGTACCTGTTTTAAAAAATGGCTAACAGCATCAAATGAGCCTGGAAGTGTTTTCAACTTGTGGGATGCGAGCTACAGTCAGACCTCGCTTAACCGCACACACCCTTTTTCCACGAAATTATCCGGGTAGGCGAGGGAACCGGATAATCAGCCACACATACTGTATGTATGTATGACATATGCTGTAAATCGGTAACCAACGATTTTCTTCCGGATGGCGAGGGATCCGGATGAAAGAGGACCGGATAAGCGAGGTCCAGGCTCGTGTAATGTGTGTGGGATGTGATCTACCATGCTCCTGTAATGTGTGTAGTATGTGATCTACCATGCTCCTGTAATGTGTGTAGTATGTGATCTATCATGCTCCTGTAATGTGTGTAGTATGTGATCTACCATGCTCCTGTAATGTGTGTAGTATGTGATCTACCATGCTCCTGTAATGTGTGTAGTATGTGATCTATCATGCTCCTGTAATGTGTGTAGTATGTGATCTACCATGCTCCTGTAATGTGTGTAGTATGTGATCTACCATGCTGCTGTAATGTGTGTAGTATGTGATCTACCATGCTCCTGTAATGTGTGTAGTATGTGATCTACCATGCTCCTGTAATGTGTGTAGTATGTGATCTACCATGCTCCTGTAATGTGTGTAGTATGTGATCTACCATGCTGCTGTAATGTGTGTAGTATGTGATCTACCATGCTCCTGTAATGTGTGTAGTATGTGATCTACCATGCTCCTGTAATGTGTGTAGTATGTGATCTACCATGCTCCTGTAATGTGTGTAGTATGTGCAGTTGTACACCACTGTAGTGTATGGTGTTAACATAGAGTATGTTTAGAGTATGTTTAGAGTATGTTTAGAGTATGTTTAGAGTATGTTTAGAGTATGTTTAGAGTATGTTTAGAGTATGTTTAGAGTATGTTTAGAGTATGTTTAGAGTATGTTTAGAGTATGTTTAGAGTATGTTTAGAGTATGTTTAGAGTATGTTTAGAGTATGTTTAGAGTATGTTTAGAGTATGTTTAGAGTATGTTTAGCTATACTGATCTGCAAGCACGTGTAAAAGCGTACCGTATTTTCCCGAATATAAGTCGACTTCGATTTTAAGTCGACCACCCCAAATCCAGGAGTCAATTTCATGAAAAGAAGTTTTTATAGCTCCATGACACCCACACATACAAAATGATGAATTCTCTGCGAGGAGAGATAATTTCATGCCAGTAAGACAAAATCTGAACCAAACCAGTGTCAGTCGCGGGACGAAAGTTCACATGGTTCATACGGTAGTGCTTTTTGTACGGACACTCCAGTCACTTCATTTGTTGTGCCAGATTCCCGTATGTAAGTCGAGTTCCGTTTGTAAGTCGGCCCCCAGCTTTTGGCGAAATTTCTGGCGCACAGAAGGTCGACTTATATTCGGGAAAATACGGTAAACGTCAACTAGGACAAGTGATAGATATTCGCCATAATCTCAACAATTCCAGTGACATATGACAAGAATCCACCTTTCTGTGGCCAGTGACATGTACCCAGCCGTCAGCATTACTTGTGATGAACACAGTGGATGTCTGATTTGTGTGGTGATGAACAAGGTGGATGTCTGTGATTTGTAGCAAAAATCTGGGAACGGTGTATATTCCGGAATACGGTTCGTAACACAGGCCCAGCCGAACATCTTTACATTATGTATATTTACTCACAGCTGTGTGACGGTGCTAAGTCTACATCACCCGATTGTTCTCGATGCAGAATGATGACGATTTGCAGTGCCTGAAAACTTGATGCGTGTGCTTTGCTTCCGGATCTTTTGCTTGTCCCTGTGCAGTGCGAGGTGGACAAGAATGATGCATGGCTGTTGCTCTTCCAGGCCAAGATTGTCGAATGCGATGACAGTCATGGTGCTGCTCTTGCCCAGGCTAATCCACAAGACGTGCCCGATGACAAACCCGCAGACGCGCACTTGCCGAAGTGCGTGCCAGCAACGTGGAGTGGTATCGTGGAGCTTTGCCGCCAGTTCTACCACGGTGCCGTGCCTGACGTGATGCGGCATCTGAGCGAGTTCCGTGCGCGCTCAGTTGCCGATTACGAGAAGGCGCACGGCGTGAATTTTCTCTCAATAAAACGATCGCCCAGCCAGTTAATGGACTATAGCAGATTCATGGCACTTGCAGCTCCTCGCTCGGCCTGGCAAACGCGTCTTTTTCTCTACTGTGAATTACGCCTCTTGGAGCTCTTCACTGGTCAAGGGTTTACGAAGAATGAGTCGGATGCTGTCACAGTGGGAAATGAAGACCATTGGCCGTGTCTCCGAGAATACGTGTGTGAAAATGCCGAGCTGGCCACACAGCTGAGCTCCGGTACGGCATCTCTGGTCAAACTGCAAGTAGTACTGCCGGATGAACTGCAGTAGTAATTATTACAATGGTGATGTTTGTTTGAAAAGGGTTTGCTCCCCACACTGGAGCTCATGCTACTAGTATTTGTTTGTTTGTTTGTTTAGCTTCATTTTCTTTCACCATAGGCACAGGAGAAATGCCTTCTCACTGGGCGTATTGCCACAGTTCTCGCAAAATGATGGAGATGTTTTTTTTATATTCACCTTGAAGCTGATTTTGAAGCAGTGAACTCACTTGATCGTCGTATCATTATTGAAGGAGCCAGGTCAGTTGGTATGATGAGATGGCACCTTTGGGCTAAGTTAAATTATAGTACAGAAAGGGACCAAGGAAGTACGTTGTATTTCTCGCCGGCCGAGCGCAGCGAGATAGGCGAGAACTGATTTCTCGCGAAATATTTTTTGTTGCAAATATGGCATCTGGTGTGTTCTTTATTGTCGCTTCTTTTCCTGACTTCTTCTGTCAGTTTTGAGTCTTACCAGTGTCCCTGCCCTCCCACACTTCATTTATGTGCATATTATCATTGCTTTTTATCACTTTTTGCCGTGATGTGCTTACCATGCCTACATGATGCCTAATCGCCATTGGGGATATACACCCGGTTTTTATCCCTCACAACTGTGTACGGCGGCGCGAGGGTTTTTTCCCGGCTGGCTCGGTTCAGAAAAATTAATCTGACGGTCCCAAGTGGTTCTGAATCATGGCCTATTTTTGCTATCCACTGGCACGCCTATTCTATCTGAGACACTCTGTTCTCAGTCCTTGCTTCCATACCTCACTCATTATCCGGTTCACATCTGGCTTCGGCCAACTACCCTTCACTTTGTGTAGTGTCGTTATTGTTGTCTATGTCTCTGTGTGTGCCAGTATATGTGGAGCGAGAAAAGTTATGCTATAATGTTCACTAACACCCCAGTTACTTGACAATTAGCTCATGCGATAACATTGCACAAAGCTGACCTTATAATTATGTAGTTTCTTTGGTGCTTTTCTTTACTATAAATTATTAATCATTGGCTCTCCTTCCGAGTCTATCTTTGGCTTGAGTGCTTTTTCCTTAAGTGAAGCAGGTTAAACAACTCCACCAGAATGGAGCATTTTATGCAGTCGACCCCTGATGTAGCGACCACCATTTTGGAGTAGAATTAGTTCTTTATATCCGAAGTTTGTTTGTGTCGCAAACCACCAGTGGGAAAGGCCTTCGCGCTTATGGCATTGTATTCGTTGCAATGTTGTATTTCGACTCCGCCGTACCGCTGATGTTTGCTGCATGGCATACGCTATATGCGCTGTGTGCGGTTTGCAGTGTACCACTGGTATACGCTGTCATGTCATGTTTTATATGTGTATGTTTTGATATACATGTACGCTGTTTTTGCATGCTATAAATAGCTGGTGTTATTAGTGTTAATTGTTAATTATTTGATGAAGTGAAATATACTGTGCAAGAGAAAAGAGTTGGCCTCGTGCCGTGTGGTCGTTCGATCCTGTATCCAACTTGGAACTTTGAGTAAAGCTTTCGAGTCGACATTCACTTTTAAAAATGGGACTCTCTACATCATGTAATGCCATACCTTCTCAATACAATTTCCCAATTTCTGAGTGCAATTTTCTTGATTTGGTGTTGGTATCTTGCCTGGGGACCCAACAGACTGTACTTGCATCTGCATGTAGTTGCCACCTAACTAAAAACCTAAGGGATTCAGTGTAGTTATTCTGTTTCACATAGTACATCAAACGGACGATCATGCCAAATATTTTACGATAATGGAAAGGGAGAAAAGAGAAGATAACTTTCAAAAGTGGTGTGGAGAAAGCACAGAGCGCAGAGATCTCTTGGGACAAGAGACCTTGCGACTATTAGCCATGAAAGTGAACTTTCAAGGGACGCTAGATTTGGATGTGGTAGGACATGAACTTTAAAAACTGTACTTGTAAAGGCGCTCCACAACTAACTTCGCAGCGACTATAATGTGGAACTGGTCCCTGTGAGATCCACGATATACACCTGCGCGTGTGGGGGGGGGGCATCGATAAGAATCAGAAGCAAGGAATAGGTCCGTTTGGACTTCGGAACCATGATTTGACATTGTACCCTCCCCCCATCCCCCGTATTGCAGACACTTTCTTGAATTCTGCTCCATTTCATGATCCACATACAGTCTGTATCGGCTATAGAGTGACCGGATATAAGAATATATCGGCTACAGCGATATTGGTACGAAATATCAAAAGCAAAACGTATTTTATCCAGTACAAATATCACTATAATGCAATGAATATAACTAAATGCGCACTCATATCACAACCATGGGGACGAATAATGTATTCCAGAACGTTTTCTTGTCACAATTATCAATGGAATTCGTGACTAAAGAGAATGATGAAACTACAATAGGATGTATACACTTGGAGTGAAACAGCGAGGATACAAGCATATGCATGTCCATTTTCACACTGCACTTGCTGAATTTCCTATCATTTGTCACCTCACCTATAGTTTATTACCTGTGCAAATTGCGGATCCACGTACGGTGTACATGTGTATGGTGTATTCCACGTACAGGGTGGTGGATCAAAGACTACCTTTCCGCCTTCGTGAGATTCCAAATGTTCAGACGTTAGGTGCGGCTTTAAAATGGTGCGGAAGGATAGATCGGATCCACCAACCAGCCAGAGGTCATAGGCCAACATGAAAAAATAATTTGAGAAACACAAATGACCGCCACTATTCATTCACGTGGATACTGCATGACGTCAGGAGACATGGGCAGCAGCAGGTAAACACGCACCTACATTTATTATTATTTTTTATTGTTTTATTCCAAGCAACACATGGTAGGCCTTGGCGGATAATGCCGGCAGAAAAATTGGTAAAATTCGGTACTTTTTCTGGTAGGTTTCATGCATGTTTGGTATGTGGATAAAGAAATGGAGCAGAATTCGAGGAATTGCACGCCATAAGGTTTGTACGGTTCTGCCAATTTCACTGCTTTTCGAGCAGAATCTGCCACCTTTTCGAGCATTATCCGCCAGGGCCTAACACATGGCTGGGGTAGCCAATGACCACTTTGCGTGGCGATTGCAGGGTTTTTATTGCCAACCACGGCTAACAAGGAAAAGAGTAAGAAGTCAAAAAGAAAAGGAAAAGAAGAAAAAAGCAAATATGGACTAAAATTGTGGTCTACTGGTAAAGCAAGGCGTTCCTGAATGCTGTTAAAGTAGAAAGGCCCTTTGTCTCCTGGTGCAGCTTAAGCCAATGCAAATAGTCATTGAAAAGGGGGGGGGGAGTGTAGCAAGGCTGAAGAGCGGGCTAGAGGAAGGGAGAGTTGGTTCCTAGTGGAGCTATCCCGTCGGACATGTACATTGTATTTGCTGATACTGCAGAACCAGCAAGGCAGCCTATGCTAGTAGTTGGTGGATAGGCGGAGGGAATTTGATTGAGAAAGTCTATCCTAAAAAACGGGAGTTAATACATGTACGTAACGTTGTTCGCGTGGAGGTCGTGAAGCCTGCCTTTGTTCTCGAGTTGCATGCTTCCACTCAGCTCAGGTAGAGAATCCCGAATGTACCCGTTCAGTTCCAACGCCTCAGTCAGATGCACGAAGATCCGCATCTCTCCTTGCACCGGTGTTCAGAACTCCCTATCGATGAACGGAGCAATACGCAATCACCTAGGTGGCTGTGGCGACCACAGATCGTGTTTCTTACCTATTACCAGTACATGTACAGCCAGCGACCGCTACCGTCGTTTAGTTCTCTAAAACCAGTCAACCAACGTGTAGACTGTAGTGTATTGTGATTTCTCGCTCGTAACATCACGCATCACTTCCCGGCACGGCCAAGAAATACACCCAGTCACATATCGGGCAGCGCATCGCATCGCTTCTTCCTCGAGTTCTTGCGCGTCTTTTGCGTTGCGCGCCGCGGGGAGCGTCTTGTTTTCGGGTAATGCCGATTCTCACCTGTCGGCTAAGCTGATTGTTCTCAGATGCGTGACCGGCATGGAACATGCAATCAGCTGCAAGTACATGGACATTTATGTATCTGCATGTCCATTCCAGCATACCAGTGCACTATTAGTATTACAAAATGTACTGCAAAGTAATGACATGAACTGCACAACACCGTCGGTTGGTATGCGGGGTTACTACCAAGTCATTGCTGCCTTTTTTGCCTGGACATTTGGAGGTTCTTCACGTTTGCTTGGATACACTCGCCAACTTAACATGCTGTTGGTTGACAGAATGTAACAAGGTGGAGGACACCGTGTTCGGAAACAGTGACCTTTCTACAACCATCCACGGTTGGTAGAGCCCCAGTCTGTTGAGACTACCTGAACCGTGTGGATCTTAGACCCGGTTCTGACCCTCCTTATTCTAGAGGGTCATTTTCTAGACTTCTCCTAACGTGAGTCGTGTATTCTGTGATCACCCTATCCTGGATGTCTTCTTGGTTTATACGACTAGCGAAGTTGCAGGGTGTGATCTCAGAGCAAAGATATGCCTGTCACTGCATGTATAAGTACATGTACGGTAAGACCTGTGACTAACGACCACCCCTTGGGGCCAGAGAAAGCGGTCTTTAGTGGAAGGTGGTCCTTAGTTAGAGGTTTTAACCGCGCAACCATACTCTTGTTCATGAATGTGAGACCGTCTGTGCCTGGCGAAGTGGTCTGTACTACAGTAAAAGCTGTAACTAAAGACCACCGTGACTAGCGACCAGCCTGGTACTAAAGACCACTTCGCCAGGCACGGACGGTCTCACGTTCAATAATGGTTGTGCGGTGCAAACATCTAACTAAGGACCACCTGCCAATAAAGACCGCTTTCTCTGGCCCCAAGGGGTGGTCGTTAGTCACAGGTGTTACTGTACCAGGCTGGTCGCTAGTCACAGTGGTCGTTAGTCACAGGTTTTACTGTACAAGGCTGGACGCTAGTGACAGTGGTCTGTAGTACCAGGCTGGTCGCTAGTGACAGTGGTCTTTAGTTACAGGTTTTACTGTACCAGGCTGGTCGCTAGTGACAGTGGTCGCTAGTGACAGTGGTCTTTAGTTACAGGTTTTACTGTATTGCGCTTCCACCCTCATGTGACCTGAAATTGTGGCGCGAAGGACCCTGGGCGACTCAAGCCAAGGCGGTAGTTCCAACAGTTTTTTCGCCTCCACCTTATGCTCACTTGCAGTGGGTAGTCGCCCTTGGCGGAAACTGCTCTACTTACGCATGCATTGCACAGGACACAGCACAATTGCAATGTCACATTGTGATGACTGGGTGTGTTGGCCAGTGCATTTTTGACCATGACCAGTAAAGCCATGACTGTGAACAGGGCTGATACGCATTGTAACTAAACAATAGGCGTGAGCATTGGACTCTGGAAAAGCACGTAAATAATTTCATTAGACAAGGCAGAACAACAGACACCAAAAAGCATTCTCGTAACTCCGATTTTCGTGTTTCAAAAAACACTCATCAGTCGATAAAACATAATAGTGCTATTCGCTAGTTACATGTACATTGTGCATGTATATAGGGCAATTATAATGTTAAATGTAGGCTAAAGCAGTGCTACAACCACGACACGTGAGGCGATAACACCAGCACTGGAATACACTGTGACTCTAAATAATTGCATTAAACAGGTATCCACATGCCCGTCTCTTACTCTGTATGTAAACATGGTAAAAATTCACCTAGGGTTCCCAGTAAAAAGGCAACGCCTGTTGGGACTCCCCTAGTAAAATAATAAAATCTACTACTACTACTACTACTACTACTACTACTACTACTACATGTATGGACAGTGTACATGTAAGTATACT